CCTCCGCCGCGGCCGCGGCCGGGCTGCCGTCAGGCCCGGCCTGCGCGAGGAGCGACGCCAGCGACAGGTTGGCCGTGGCCTTGCCGCCGGAGCCCGTCACCACAGGCACCTCGCCCTCCACGGTCTCGTCTTCTGGCGCGGAGGGCGACAGGCCAGCGGCCTGTATGCCGCGCACGCCGACGAACTCGGCTCCGCCGGCTCCCAGCCTGGTGCGGTGCCAGAAACACGCAGACCTGCAACGTCTTGACAAACAACAGAAAATTAGCCTGGCGAAGGACCCAACCATACGCAATTGGATACAGCAATTGTGAATACCATCTTCGCCCGCGCTCCCTATGTGGCCACGGCTTCCCGCCGGAGCCCGACATGCTCAGGGACACGTTTGTGGCCGTCTTCGCGGGCGCCGACGACCACGAGGACGGCGTCCCCCTGACCGAAGAGCAGAAGCAGGAAAGGGTTCTGAGAGCCATGAGGGAGACTGCCATTGGCGCCTTCAGTGGAGCTCCTATGGGGCCACGACCCTCATGAGGGGTGTGCCGAAATGGCCCGAGGCCGCCATGCGAACCCTGCCACTGGGGGCCTTCGGTGGAGCTCCCCATGGGGCCACGATCCTCGTGAGGGGTGTGCCGAAATGGCCCGAGGCCGCCATGCGAACCCTGCCACTGGGGGCCTTCGGTGGAGCTCCCTATGGGGCCACGATCCTCGTGAGGGGTGTGCCGAAATGGCCCGGGGCCGCCATGCGAACGCTGCCACTGGGCCTTCGGTGGAGCTCCCTATGGGGCCACGATCCTCGTGAGGGGTGTGCCGAAATGGCCCGGGGCCCACATGCGAACGCTGCCACTGGAGCCTTCGGTGGAGCTCCCTATGGAGCCACGATCCTCGTGAGGGGTGTGCCGAAATGGCCCTGGGCCGCCATGCGAACGCTGCCACTGGAGCCTTCGGTGGAGCTCCCTATGGGGCCACGATCCTCGTGAGGGGTGTGCCGAAATGGCCCGGGGCCGCCATGCGAACGCTGCCACTGGCGCCTTCGGTGGAGCTCCCTATGGGGCCACGATCCTCGTGAGGGGTGTGCCGGGTCCGAGGCCGCCATGCGAACGCTGCCACTGGGGCCTTCGGTGGAGCTCCCTATGGGGCCACGATCCTCGTGAGGGGTGCGCCGTGGCCGCCATGCGAACGCTGCCACTGGGGCCTTCGGTGGAGCTCCCTATGGGGCCACGATCCTCGTGAGGGGTGTGCCGAAATGGTCCGAGGCCGCCATGCGAACGCTGCCACTGGGGCCTTCGGTGGAGCTCCCTATGGGGCCACGATCCTCGTGAGGGGTGCGCCAAAATGGGGCGGGGCCCACATGCGAACGCAGCCACTGGGGCCTTCGGTGGAGCTCCCTATGGGGCCACGATCCTCGTGAGGGGTGCGCCAAAATGGGGCGGGGCCCACATGCGAACGCAGCCACTGGCGCCTTCGGTGGAGCTCCTTATGGGGCCACGATCCTCGTGAGGGGTGTGCCGAAATGGGGCGGGGCCCACATGCGAACGCTGCCACTGGAGCCTTCGGTGGAGCTCCCTATGGAGCCACGATCCTCGTGAGGGGTGCGCCGAAATGGGGCGGGGCCACCATGCGAACGCTGCCACTGGAGCCTTCGGTGGAGCTCCCTATGGGGCCACGATCCTCGTGAGGGGTGCGCCAAAATGGGGCGGGGCCCACATGCGAACGCTGCCACTGGAGCCTTGGGTGGAGCTCTCTATGGGGCCACGAAACGCTGTACTGGGTGGGTGAAACGCAAGGAGGAGGGGGGAGGAGGGGGAGGAGGAGGAGAGGAGGAACGCGGGGCGACGTCTCTTCAAAACGAGGACCCAACACCACATGATGGTTGGGGGAGAAAAAAATATCCTGGCGAAAGACCCAACCATATGCAAACGTGAATACCGCAGGGCAGGTGGGACGAAGCAAGAGGAATTTCTATGGGCACACGATCCTCGTGAGGGGTGCGCCGAAATGGGGCGGGGCCACCATGCGAACGCTGCCACTGGCGCCTTCGGTGGAGCTCCCTTATGGGGCCACGATCCTCGTGAGGGGTGTGACGAAATGGCCCGAAGCCGCCATGCGAACGCTGCCACTGGGGCCTTCGGTGGAGCTCCCTGTGGGGCCACGATCCTCGTGAGGGGTGCGCCAAAATGGGGCGGGGCCGCCATGCGAACGCTGCCACTGGAGCCTTCGGTGGAGCTCCCTATGGGACAACGATCCTCGTGAGGGGTGTGCCCAAATGGTCCGAGGCCGCCATGCGAACGCTGCCACTGGCGCCTTCGGTGGAGCTCCCTGTGGGGCCACGATCCTCGTGAGGGGTGTGCCGAAATGGCCCGGGGCCGCCATGCGAACGCTGCCATTGGCGCCTTCGGTGGAGCTCCCTATGGTGCCGCGAACCATGTGAGGGGTGTGCCGCAATGGGGCAGGGCCACCATGCGAACGCTGCCACTGAGGCCTTCGCTGGAGCTCCTATGGGGCCACGATCCTCGTGAGGGGTGTGCCGAAATGGCCCGAGGCCGCCATGCGGTCCCTGCCACTGGGGCCTTCGGTGGAGCTCTATGGGGCCACGATCCTCGTGAGGGGTGTGCCGAAATGGCCCTGGGCCCACATGCGAACGCTGCCACTGGGGCCTTCGGTGGAGCTCCCTATGGGGCCACGATCCTCGTGAGGGGTGTGCCGAAATG